CCGAGCCCGGAACCTTTGCGCGGGGAGGCGCAGTTTCCGGCGGGGCGGGCGGCGCGGACCGCCGTGCCCGGAAGCGGCTGCCCCTGCCCTTGCCCTCAGCGCGGCCGCGCTCCTGCGGCTCCCGGGCCGCTCCCGCTCCCTGCCGGCCCTTAGGATGTGGCGGACGCGGGCGGCGGCGGCTTGGTAAGCGAGACGGGCCCCGGAGAGCTGCAGGCGGGCCTGGCATCCGCGGGGGAGGCGGAGCAGCACAGGGGGTTGGGGTGCGAGCTGCGGGTGTGAATGGCGCAGGGCTGGGCCTGAGGCTGCTGCGGGCGGCAGCCTGGTACCCCTGGGCTGGGCAATTTCCCTTCTTCCAGATCCCTGGGACCTGGGRGAGGCGGTGCATGTAGAAGGGAGCTGCTTCTCCCGCATTCTTGCCCTGGGGAGCTCGGGCCGCTCTCGTATCCAGGTGTTATCCCTCCCAGCTGCGTCCCGCTTGTTTTCCACCGTTGTGCTACACCACTGCAGGCTGGAGCAGTGAAACTGAATGGCGGGCATTAGAGCGTTGTTCCTTGGCAAATTTCATATGTTCCCTGGTAAATTTCATAGAGTCATGAAGTGTTTTGGGTTGAAAGGGGACCTGGGAGATAATCTAGTGTCAAGCCCTATTTGGGAGCAACAGTAGGAAAATAAGCGTTGTGTAGTAATGAATGAGAAAGAGAATGCCACAGTGTCGGGTTACATTTGCTTTGTAGTCCCAGGGATAGCAGGGCACTTTTTTGTGTTTTACAGGACTTACAATTTCAGTGCAGCGTAAGAGTAGTCAGGTTGCAGGCTTGTAATAAGACAGAGCTACTCATGTCTGGAAGGATAGTTCTTGTTTTTGTTAGAACCAGCATTGCAGAGGCTTGAAATTTGGAGCTCATTCAGTACTTWGTTTAATGGCATTGTTCTGCCGTGCTTTTCAATCTAACTGTATTTTTAGTGAAGATCTCAAGGTGATTTTTTGGTCTTTGTTCATCAGGAGATTTAGCAGGTGGAGGGAAATAGAAAATGAAAGTTTTGGTGTGATGGAAGAGTAGTGGGGACTTAAATGAATTATAAGATTTCAGATGTGCAAGTAAAGCAGTTGAGTTTGAAATATGCAGTAACATTCAAAGGAAATTGTGGATTGAGTTATTG